AGGGATGTCCGACTGCTGGTTTAGGCCTGATCCCTATAAACCGGCAGTAGGACATCCTTTGAGGTGTCCCAGATTGGAGAGGGTGCAGGCCAGGCTGAGGGACACCCCCCCCCCTCCCCCCATGCACGGATTTCGTGCACCGGGCCACTAGTAATTATATAATCTACAATGAATGCTGCGTGGAGAGGTGTGTTGGACTGGGAGTTCATAAGAGGGTAAACTTCCCTACTTTAAGGAGTTATGGACAGGTGAAGTCCGAAGGAGATGAGTGTTAGGGATAAGGGTGAAGCAGAAGGCAGGGCCAGATAGATCATGAGAGGTCATGTAGGTCATCCTCCAGATTTGTTCTTCATCTTGAGAGCAACAGGAACTCACTGAAGCATGATAGAACTGGGTCTGATACAAGGGTAAGTATACTTCAAGGGAGGATCATGCAAAATGCATGAATTTTAGTGTGTGAACTAAAAGAGGTATCTCTTTGAGCTTCTTGGAGCTTTATTGATAGTGCCTTGAAACTTGGCTGTGTTCCAGTAGCTGATGATACAGGGTAAGAGACCTGAGCATAAGCAAACTGTTATAAAATATACAATTCTCTTGACTTTCAGTAATTCTTAGGATGATCATCAGTTTTTTATTTCATTATTGACATGTATATATATATTATTGTTCATTTATCTTTAATATCTTGCCTGTCTATGATAAAAGGACACATGAAACTATTCAAATAGAAGTACACCCTCAAAACCACTGAAGGAAGAAACAAATATGGTAGCTAGCGTGAAGAACCACACTGACTTCTGAGATTCTAAAGCAGCCAAAAGGTAAAGGGACATTTAAAGGAATACATACGTTTTATTATATGATAGGACCAAGCTTAACTCTTTTTCAGGAGAGAATGAATTTTCTTGGGAATTATTTCTGAAAGAAATGTATCATCTGGGACTTTGACAGCTTGCTAAGCAACGCTACTTAACACACTGTTACAGCAAAAGCAGAAGCCTTCTCCTGGGCTGTTTTGCACATGTACCCACAATCAAAGCTAAGACTGGGATGCTTGTAACACTGATGGATGTTCCATTAAAAGAGTTTTCAAGGAGAGGGAGATAATCTTACTTGATCTAGATTTACAACTCTTTTGAGCTCTGATGATATAAGGATATTAAGAATAAATAAAGAGCATCTTCCATATACAGTACTCTGCTTTTCAAACTCTATCTTCAAAAGAGTCCTGCTCAGACACCTAACTTTTCAGGCAGTTAAAATAAGAACTGCTGGGTTGAAGGCATGGCCGTGGTCTTGGACACTCTACTTCCCCTCATGCTACTTGCCGATCCTGGGAGTGCCTTGGAAGGTCCCAGTAGTTCTATGGGGCACATCAAATCCACAGATTTAAATATTCTTGCTCTCGCAGGGCTTTCATAGATACTGAAAGTGGACATCAGGAATTTGTGTTCTCTGTTGGGAACCTAGCAAATTAATTAATTAGTTAATTGTAAGGTGAGCGGGTTGTGTTGGTGACGGTCAGTGTTCTCACCTCATGGGAAAGCCAGCCCACTTCCCAAAGACCGGAATGTGAGGGGGTCCTTGGCCAAAGTGCAGTGTCCTCATACCAGGTGAGCGGGTTGTGTTGGTGACGGGTCAGTGTTCTCACCTAGTGGGAAAGCCAGCCCACTTCCCAAAGACTGGAATGTGAGGGGGTCCTTGGCCAAAGTGCAGTGTCCTTGGGACCAGTTTTGAATTTCCTGGAGAGCAGAGACTGTGCTTGACAAAATCCTGAGCTGTTTACTCTACAAGACAACAACAATGTATTGTATACAGAAAGTGTCTTAGCCTATTACCAGTTGTTCATGGATGAGATTTGTAAGGCAAATGTCAATTTTGTACAGTGTAGCCTTCAGATTTCCTGCCAGGCCCAGTGAGTGACAAAATGCAGTCTCAAGTAATTAAAAAATTGACCCATTGGATGGAATTGTTTAGTAATGCCCGGTTTCAATATTGGATGTGTCTGCCCTAGAGTGTAATTTCTGGGTAGAAAAAATTGTTACGCTGTTTTTTTTCTAACATTAATGAGATATCTGAACAAATTGCTTTCTGTAGGCCTTTTCCGTTTGAGACAGTAAAGCCATGGTGTGGAAGGAGACCCTTCTTTGTAATAGCAGATGAGGCAGCCAGAGCAGCTGAGTGCTGCACAGACCGCTGCTGTAAAATGAAAGAAAACTGGTTAAAGCTTTGTCTTGCTGAGATTGTAACCTTGTGTGGACATGCCTACTTAAGCAATGGTTTAAAGATACTTGCTATCAAAGGTCATGCTTCTTCGAGTTTATTGTTTAATTAACAACATAACAATCATATCAGATTTTAGAAAGATGAATGATTAGTATTTCAGGCCAGAATTAT